TGTGCTCATGGCTGAACTCTGGCCTCAGAGCCAATGTGGGATCTGCTTTTGCAAATCCAGGTGGGCAGAGGATGATCTGGGTATCCTTTTATCTTTTCCTTAGAGACTCCCAGGAAGCAATGAGCCCATCCTCTTGACTAAATTGGATACTGCTTAACTTTCTCAAGTTCTAACACTAGTCTGATTCCAAAGAATTTTAAACAAGATCTAAGATTCTCATTTGAAACAAGGAAAGGATGTTAATGTCTAGGTAGAAAACCTTCTCTGTGACCAGGTATAGTTACTAGTGACCAATTGTAGAAGCCGAGGTGTTTAAAACAAGCTAAAATCACAAATGTGAAGGAAATGGTGAGCTCTTCTTCCTGTGAACACAGACCTCTCTCTTCCCTCTGCAAAGAGAACTCAGAAGGTCAGGCTGCAGCTCCTGGAGGGGAAGACCACGCAGGCTGAATCACATTCCCCGTGTAAGGGGCAAGCCGTCCTGAAGATAATTCTTCGGGGAGTACCTTATTTTTCATTTTGTTTCTACATTCTGGAACTGGTTATCACTTTTGATGTTCAGCTAGCTTGGGCTTTAAAGATATTTGATAATAAATAAAAGTTACTTATCTAGCCAAGAACTCTTTAAAGGACTCTACCCTTTTGAGTCTTTTAAAAAAAAAAACATATTCCAGGTTTATAGAAAATGTTAGATAATTACAGAATGTTATAGAGCAGTAAAGAACATTACAGGAAATTGAAGTCCTCGTCCCTTCTATTTCCTGTCTTTCCTAGAGATGATCACTGCTGCAAAATTGGTGTTCATTGTTTCCATGGACATATTTTTGTATTTTTATGAAGTGTCTATGTTTTTCCCTAAGTATTTCATGGTTTCACTTTGCATTTGTTCAAACTTCATAGAAACAATAGCATATTCTTCTTCTTCAAACTACTTTTAGTCTATCATGCTATCACTATAGTCTACTTTTGAGGATTAGACACGTTATTGGTACCATTCTGGTTTATTAATCTTCACAGATGTATTCTTTTGTAAAAATATGCTATAATTTGCTTTTTCTGTTTATAGATATTTGTTATTTCTAATTATTAACCAATATAAATACAAAACAGCACAACATACAGTATTGTTTATTATACACGTCTGTCATGGTTACGCATGCAAAAGTTGCACGTTAGTATAAACCCAGAAGTGGAATTTCTGGGTTGTAGGCTATGCACATTTTCAAAGGTGGTAAGTGTGCCTCAGAAGGGATTCTGCCTGTGCCAGTGCCTCCTGTCCTCCGACGTTAATTTTTGTTAATCTTTACTCTGATAGGTGTGACACAGTTGATCACTGTGGGGTCAGCTTGCAGTTCCCGTCCCTGATTCTGAAGGTGACCAACACTCCTATATTTATTCACCATTTATCTTTCTTGATCAGTAAAATACTCATTTTCCTTTGCCCATCTTTCCCTGGGTAGTTGTCTTTTTCATCCTGATGGGAAGGGGTTCTTTGGTCTGCTAATCTTTTGTGGTTTATACTTGTTATGAGTAGCTTCTCCCAGGCGTTTGCTTTTCTTTATTTTTTTCATACGAAAATTCTATTTTTACTTTTCGGTTTTCTTTTTTGGACTAACGTAGGGTACATATATGATTAGGCTATACTGCTTGCCTTTGTAAGGTCCAGTCTAAGCTGTAGCTGAGTCTCCCAGGAAGTGTGCCCTGTACCCCTACATTGTCCTGATCGGTGGAAGCTTAGTGAACCTTCTTTCCCCCTTCCCTTCGCTTGAATTTAATTACCTTTTCTCTTCTGTGGACCTGTAGTTGTTCATCTCCTCCTTTCAAACTGGTATGGAGTACATGGGCTGTTTGCTTTCTTTATTCTTAACTTACGTAGTCAGTCAATGTACACACATTTACAATTTAAAATATAGTAGAACCTCTGTAAGTTGATCACTTAAGGGACTATAACAAACTGGTCAACATACAGAGGTGGTTGACATGAGGAATGGCCTACTGCTCTGATACGTACACGTAGTACATGTCTTGTCTATGAAGATTAAGTCAACTTAAGGGGGTGGTCCATGTAGGGAGGTAATCAACCATAGAGGTTCTACTGCGTACACAAATCCATCCATTCTTTCCTTTTTGGTTTCTCTTTTGGGATTGTGGTCTTAAAAAGTCTTTCCTATCCTGCGATATGATAGTTTCAAAGTTTTGCTTTTCACATTTTTTTACTTAAACCACCTCGAATTTGTTTTTCTGTTTGGTATGAGGAAGGGCTAGCTGTGTGTTGTGTTATATGGCTAGCAGTTGTCTCAGCAGCATTGGTTAGACAGTCTGCTGGTTTCCCACCGCTGTGTAATGACACATCTGATACGAATCAGGATCCCAGATGTGTGTGAATCTGTGTCCTGGCTCTCTGTCCCACTCTGTTAGTCCGTGTTTCCGTTCACGCACCAAGACCACATTCACAGTTGATTATTGGGTTTTAAAATGGGCTCAGTATCTAGTGGGGCCAGTGCTCTGCTTTGTTCTTATTCAGAATTGTCTTGTTATCCTTGAAACCTCAGGTCCTGCCCCTAAAAAATTTGGAATCAGCTTATAAAGTTTTGTGAAAAATTCTTTTGGGTGTTTATTTAGAAATGTGTTAAACAAAAAAAAAGAATTGGCATTTTGTTTTAGGATATTAAAAAATATTTTACTAAAACATAAGATTTGCAGAAGATTCCAGACAAGCCCTACTCATCGAATATTTCTGTACACAAATGTGATATAGCTTTCATTGATTTGAGTCATTTAGTAAAGTTTATGAAAGTGTCTGATAGTTTATGGTTAACTTGGCAAATTGTGTGTATATAACAATGTAGTTGATTGGTGTGTATATATATATATCAACCTTGCTAGAGTCTTATTAATTCCAGTAATTTGAATATTTTTTTGGATTATCTATAGAAATGGTCAGGTTATTTGCAAATAATGGCATGTTTCTTTCCCTTCCTTATGCTTTTTATTTTTCTTAGTGTACTGGCTGGGACCACCAGAATAATGTTAAATATAAACAACAGTGAGGATATCCTTATATCATTTCTAACATTACGCTTTTCTTAATGTTTCAGCATTAAGAATGATACTATAGTTTTTAATAAATTTCTTTGCTAAATACCACTATCAAAAGAAGTTTTCTGGCTTGGCTTCCTTAGCACAGTGGTTACAGCGCTGGCCACATGCACCGAGGCTGGTGGGGTCAAACTCAGCCCAGACCAGCTAAAC